GAATGTCTTCTGAGGCAACGAATATGGCCGCTGAACTGCGTGTAGAGGAGAATCGAAGCGCGGCCAGGCGACATATAGCGTGCGTCACATTACCGGATGAGCGGACTGTGACTACAAACGCGGGCATATGTGAGGTCTTTCGAGATTATTTTCAGGAGCTTTTCACCAGGGAGCCCGGTCTGAGTTCTGCTCAGTTCGACGCCTATTTAGCTGACTTTCCCTGCCTCTCGGCAGCTGAAGTGGCTAGGTGCGAGGGCCGCATAACAGAGTCGGAAATCTGGGAAGCGCTGAAGCAGGTTGGCCTGGATAAGTCTCCGGGATTAGATGGTCTGCCCTACGAAGTTTACTTGAGGTTGTCGCACGTTTTTGTGCCTTTGCTGGAACTGATGTACAACCACTGGATGAGGCAGGGGTCTTTACCTTAACGCTTCACCAGAGGTGTCATCAAGTTGCTGCGTAAGGACAAGGACGGAGGGGATGGGTTAGGGAACTTTCGCCCTTTAACGATGTTAAACACTGACTTAAAGATTTTGGCGAAGATCTTGGCCAACCGTCTGCAGCTTGTCCTGTCTAGTCTGATTGGCCCTGAACAGACTTGTGCTGTGAAGGGCAGGACTATTCAGGATAACCTTCATATGGTACGCCTGATCTTAGAACAAGTCGACAGTGAAGCCGCGCTGATCAATTTAGATCAGTCCAAGGCCTTCGATAGGGTTGACCATCGGTTTCTGGAGGCTGTCCTTTCGGCGGCCGATTTCGGAGCCGACTTTCGCTCCTGGATCCGTCTCTTGTATGCGACCTCCGGTGCGCTGGTGGAAGTGAATGGGGTAAGATCGAAGCCTTTCGTATTGTCTCGCTCCATTCGTCAAGGTTGTCCGCTATCGCCTCTGCTTTACGTTCTTGCGTTGGAGCCTTTCCTTCGCAAGTTAAAGGCGAATCCGGTCCTACGCGGTATTTCGCTGCCTGGTGCTAACATCTCGGCCAGGTATTCTGCCTATGCTGACGACGTTTCGGTTCTTGTGTCGAGCAGAGCCGAGATTAACGAAGTCAGTAAGCAGATCAGTGGGTATGAGATGGTGACAGGGGCCAAAATCAACCGCGATAAGTCTGTGGGCTTGCGGTTGGGTGCGTGGAAGGGAGTTTCTCTTCCCGGACCTTTCCTCTGGACGGATGGGCCGATCAAGATACTCGGCGTCTGGTTCGGTCCTGATCTCCAGTTGGAAAAGAATTGGTCGGAGGTACAGGGGCGGGCCGAGGCCGCGGCTAGTCTGTGGTCTCGGAGGAGACTTTCCCTGAAGGGAAGGGCGGAAGTTTGTGGTTCCCACATCTATCCGATACTCCTCTACCGTCTTTCTGTGCTTCCACTCCCGTATGCCCGACTAATGTCATTAGTCAAGGCCTTGTTCTCTTTCTTGTGGAGAGGCAAGGCCCATATGGCATCTCGCGAGATCTGCTGCCTTCATCCCTCTGAGGGCGGTCTGGGGATGCCTAGCATTGAGATTCGTCAATATATGCTACGCATTACCTTTCTCGACCGAATGTGTCGCGGTTTGGATGAGGTGGGCACCTTTTGGAAAGAAGATGTCCGTAAACATTTTCCATCCCTGAGAAGTGTGCACTCGTGCGAGGAGGAGGCCGGTCGTACTCCTCGTGGCGAGTGCTCCTTCTATCGTGAATGTCGTCGTGCTTTGAAGCTCCTCTTGCGGACGTCGGTTGGCCTCTCGACGCCCAAGCGTTGTCTCGTAAGGCATTATATCGTTTGTTAGTTAGGGGGTCCGTTCAAGATGATCTAATCGACGAGCTCGGTCTTACGAAGCAGGAGGCTCGCTCGATATGGCCTTGGGCGCCTGGGTTGAAATGTCTCAATAACGATGAGGCATCACTCACCTGGCTGATGATTCGCGGGGCCCTCTGGGTCGGCAAAAGAGTTTGTTCAGCAGGCTTGGAGAAATATCCAAACTGTCGTCGCTGTACTGGGAATGTCGAGACCATTGGTCACGCCTTTTTTCAGTGCAGTTCGGTAGTGCCGTTGTGCAAGTTTGTTGAAGGCCTCATGGTTCGCATGCTGCAGGGAAAGTTTTTGTCCTGGAAGCCAGTTCTGTTAGTAGCAATGTGGTATCGCAATTGACGAAGGCTGAACACTATGTGTTCTGTTGCTTACTAGGGGTTATGCGAGTCGTGATTTGGACGACGCGACAGAAGGATTCTATGAAGGCGAGAAGTTCACCTCTTCCCAACTGATCTTGTACTTTAGGCATCAGCTTAAAGTCAAGATTAGGACGGAAAGGCGGCGGCTCCCATCATCAGAATTCGCCAAAAGGTGGGTGATTCTTGCGCGAATGTGTAGAGTGAAAGGGGCTGACCTAGAGTGGCATTTAGATGTCGGTTAGGCACAGAATATTGTCCTAACAGGGTTGAACATAGGCAACCCACCCCGATATTAGGCTAGATTAGGTTTTTGTTGTTGAATATTTAGTTTCCCTTTTTTTTCCCGTTTAACTTAGCTAGGGTATGTAAAGCTCATTGGTCCCTTTTATTTCTGTCCCTATTTTTTACTTTTTTTTTTTTAATTCCCATCCCCTCCCTCGTTAGGTGGTTAGTGATGTCAGTTTTCTGGTGGATGCGGGGCGCCTTTCGTTTCGCGTGTGTGTTTTCGTATTTGTTGTTGTGTATGAATGAGTGAGTGTTTGTGTGAATGCTTTATGGTTTGAATGTGTACTCATTTTCTTAGTCCCGCTTCGATTTCGTCTGGTTAACTTACATTTCTGCCACATTCATAGTTTGTGGGGGGTTTTATTACTAACTCAGTTTTGTTTAGTTTTATTGTAAATAATTAATTCATTCTGTAAATACGCATTTGGGGATTTTAAAAGTTGTTATTTTATGACCCTCCCCCCATGAACAATATCTGTAAATAAGGGGACTAGTTAGGACGTCATAGAGAAATTGAGGTATTATGGTGGACGTAGTAAGAAAGGTAGGAGTGAATGTGATGTTTTGGTGATTGGATTATTGTTGGCATGTTTGGGTCAGTGTCTGTGACTAGCTAAGTTTTAGATTAAAGACAGAAGAAGACCGTCATTACCCATCCCCCTTTTTGGCCTTGTGCCGCATTTGTTTGTATTTATTACGAAACAATAAATATTGTGCTGACTGGTTCACCGTGTTGGCCCGGTCACACTCTGTATTTCATCTGAAGGTTCTGGAGGCGCTTTACATCGGGTCTCGCAAGCCTTCTTTGTGCAAACAACGTGAGTGTTTGCTGGGACTCGCTGTCATCTGCCTCTAGTTCCTTCTTGCATATATACAAGCATATATATATGTATATATGTGTGTAATTTTTTTTCCACCTATTCTTATTGTACATTTCTCTGTTTTAATTTTGAATCTGCCGTGGAATCCTGAAGAGCGGGAGCGAAACCGGTTGCTTCCCCCCCTTGTTGTTGAGTTTTTTTTTTTTTTTTTTTTTTATTATTTAATATTGTTTTAATATGTCTTGTAATATTAAATTTTATACTTTTATTTCGATATATATATATATATATATATGTACACATAAATATATATATATATATATATATATTTTTATATATATATATATATATATATATATATATATATTTCATTCAATACGGCACACAAATTTCTCATGTGTTCTAATCATTTCTTTTTTTTTTCCGATGATACGTTATATAAAAACTGCCTTATTTGACAGGTAAAATATTTCATCTTTGAAAATGGCTAAGTGCATGGCCGAAAAAGCACAGAATAAAAAAAAACGTTCTGATTGTTTTTATATAATTGATCACCTGAAATGAAAATTTATTACGGTTGACGTGGAGAGGAAAATTGTTCAATGTTCTGATGTCGAATTTGAACACACCGCTGATAATTTTTCACTTTATACGAAAACGAATGCAGTCCTCAAATACGTAAACACCATGTCACCCTCCCCGTAAGTGGTATGAAGCACATCTGCAATGGGGTTAAATGTAAGATCTCAAGAAAATCTTCCACATGAGATATTTTCATTGAAAGAAAAAAGAATACGTAAATGCTTTAAGAGGGCAAGGGCATTTTACCAACTTGGTTTTACATCTAATGCCCAGTCTAAAGTTAAAAGCATAAGCAAGGTTACTTTCTGGTTTAATCCCAATTTTGATTTGTAGTTGGAAATATATATTTTTTAAGTTATTGGATAAACATTTTCCGAAAAACACTTATTGGAATGCAGTATAACTGAGTTACAGTTGCACTGAAAATGAATTTAAGAATCATAACGTTAAAAATTTGGAGAAAGAAAAAAGTGGAAATGAAGAATAGAAGATATGCAACTGCACAAACATGAAAATAATTGTCTATTGGATGGGAAGTGCTGCACATATGGCATAATTTTCATTTATGAGATCAACGGTAAGAATGTTTCCATAAAGTATATTGGATGTACTGCGTGCCCATTCAAAAAGAGATTTTAAATTATGCCTCGTCAGTTCTTGTGTTAAGGTATAACAATGGCTGTTTGGACATTTGTTTATACGACCATTTTACCTAGTTTAGGTGTCAGGAGCAGGATCACAATGTATGCACGCACACACACACACACACTCGCACACACCAATGCTCACACACACAGAGAGACTCTCTCTATATATATATACATTAATATGATGAAGTTAATTGTTAATTCTATGAATAATTCCCGGGTGTATGTAAACCCCGAGAGCTCAATGTAAGTAATAATTAATTAACAAAGTAGAAACTTCAGAAAGCCATGGTAATATTTCATTTCGCAAGTCCGATGAAATTCGATTTATTTTCGTCAGATCTGGCGGATTCAAAACAATGAATGGATTCAAAAATTCTTCCAGGAATAAACCAAAAAAAGAAATAAAAAAACAAGATTAACGGAAGTTGTATTTTAAGATAGTTCCACAAGTATGTAGAGAAGGAGGGAGTTATATGTCTTTTGGAGATGCGATTTTTGTAGCTTCGACTTCTATTCACCGGAAAAGAAAAAGGAGTGGAGATGATTTATCAAGAATGGAACAAAGAAAGGCAATGAAGCAGGGAATGAAAGAAAGGAACGGAGAACCGGAGAGTGTACAGAAATCCCTATACCTACATACATGCACATTTCTCTATGCACATATATAAATACACTCACATATGTCTTTCACTTTACCTACGAACTTAGTCAAATAACAAACTCACATTCTTAGATGTTCACGTAGAATATAGAAATAACACTGTTATCACCTCATTATATAAAAAATCCTACGAGCAGAAATTCTTAACACCTTAACTTTAAAAGTGAATGCCCACTCAGATACAAAATAGCAGATAACTTCCTAAAAAGAGCACACCAGAATTCATCCTCTCGACTACTCTTCCTTAAAGAACTCAATAATGTAAAACAGACACTAATTCACAATGGCTTCCCTAACCAACTTATAGACCACCCAATTAGACTATTTAAAGCAAATAACAACGATAGTTAACATACAGTCAAAAATTACATAAATATTTTCTACAAAAACCAAATACACATTAATTACAAACAAGACGAATCTTCACTTAGGAATATTATAAAGACATACACTACACCAATCGTCCCGAATAAAAAAATAATTATCTACTATAAAAAAATTAAGACAGCTAAACTTATCCTCAAAAACAACAAAACACTAGCTAAAACAAAATTACAACCAACGAATATTATCTATGAGTTCAAATGCTCCTTAATGAACTGTGTTTCTGATCAAACCGAACTCATAAATAATTACATAGATCACACAACTACATGACTATTCAGACGCCTTACCTTACACCTACCTGATCAGAGCTCGATTAGAACTCATTAAAACACACACACACAAACCTATCAGACTCCATACGAAACATACTAGTAGAAAGAAATATTGTAAGCTCTAATAATAAAAAAAAGAAAAATGCCAAATCTTAATATGAACTACGAACTAGGCCACAATGTACTAGCCGTGTACGGAAAAAAAAATAAAAACTCTATGACACACTAAAAACATACACATAACGCACACACTCAATTAAACTGAAAAGTAAAATCATCCTTGCTAATGGCTAAAAGTATTGCCGAAAGCGCTCGGAACTATAAAACGTTTGAACAGTTTCTACACACACAGTGTCCCAAAAAGGAATATCTTGTACGAACACAAGAAAAATTAAACAAAAACCTTAACCGGAAATATTGCTGTTTAAATACACAATATCTACATCTATCTATCTATCTATCTATCTATCTATCTATCTATCTATCTATCTCTCTATATATTTATATATATATATATATATATATATATATATATATATATATATATATATATATATATATATATATGCACGCGCGTGTGTGTGTATATTTATATATGTGCATTTCCTCAGACATACATATACACATATACCGAACATATACCCATCCATATATATATATATATATATATATATATATATAGAGAGAGAGAGAGAGGGAGAGAGAGAGACATAGAGAGAGAGAGAGAAAGAGATATGCACAAATCCTTGTAAAACACACGAAAACCATGTTTTCTTTAAAATTGATGTTATTTTATAAATCCGAAGCGATTTTTATATCTGCATTTGAAAAGAAATCGTACTTCGTTGGTGTTTTCATATTTTTTTTGAATTTTTTCCTTAATTCAGATGTCCCATGTATCTGTTGAAATTGTTGAGATTTTGTGCCTTACATATGAGCATCCATTTTAATTGTTAGGTGAACACCCGTCAATAAGGTTCCACACACACACACACACTCATATATATATATATATATATATATATATAGGGATGAATGGATGGATGGATGGATGCATGCATGCATCTTAGAAAGTAAGAAAACCAAGCCAAGTACGATGGAATGTAGGATAAGAATTCAGTCAGTTCTAAATACTTACACTAATGGTATAATCTACTGTGAATGTGGAAATAATTCTATAAATTCTCTGAAAATCTGGATATTTACACAGATTGAAAATATGTATTAAATTAATTATGATTTTGATCATTAAGCTACAATCCCATTGATATAATTCATGTCTTCTTGGTAAATTTAGCTTAAAACTACGAACTCTTCTAAATTGATCATGAATCTGTGTATATTTTATGCCTAAATGAAATTATTCTATTTTAATATTCTCATTCCATGAAAAGCTCAAACCAAATTTACTCTTGATCATCTCGAAATACACAGATTAAATCCCTTTTCTGGGATCCTATTTTCCAGCGGAAATAAGATACTTAGATACGTCCTTATGCAATGCGCTGCTTTCGTCTGAAATGCAACAGGGGGTTTCGATTAGCTTCCACCTGAATTTCCACAGAAATGATCCTGACAGGAATTAAATTCGTTAAGTAGCATCATTTCATTTTATTTGGAAATCCGTAGGATCTAATTTTAGATATCATGTATCAATCTTATATCGAAATCTGGGTTTAACCTCCTTCGCCATTAAGGAATAACAACAGGCCCTATCTAGCCATTCCCATGTGGGATTGAACGATGAAGAAATGTTTACCATTTGTTCGTAATAGAAAACTATTGATCTTTCTCATACACCAAAATTAAATTCTTCTGTGAGTTAATAAAGAATATCAGGTTCAATTTGTCGTCTCTTTTGTTTGATGAAAACTGCTTGAAATACTGATTTATGCGCAAATGTTTAGCTTCACATATATCGCTATAACACAATTTTTAGTATGTCTCCAAAACACCCGGGAAACCAGACTATATATACAGTTGAAATTAATTCCTTTCTTTTCTGCCATCATTTTAACACTATTATCAGTTGCATAATTCTACGTAATGTTATTTAATGTTTTGGAAAGTCCAAACTTCTTTCTTATATATATTAAAGTCAATATCTAATCCACTTTACGAAAGGTTTCAGTTGCGATATAATTCCTCCGATAATGGCTGTAGAAATGTAAATATTTATGAGCGTAATGATTCGAACAGAATGTGGCACACGGCCAGGTTTCAGTCGGGATTCCCTAGCATACATGGAACAAAAGTTAACTACGGCTTGCTTTTGTTCCTGTTACAAATCTTCCTCTGTAGTTCCTGTTTGTAAGGACTCTATTCAATAATGTGACCCCTCGCATTATCGTACTGTTAGACACTTAACTCTATTTGGCCAAATATTAGAGACTCTCATCAATGCCGAATTGGATAAACACATTATTCAGAAGACCCCCTCCCGGTTAAGCAATATGGCTTCCATTCTTCCTGGTCTACCTCCGATGTGCTAAGAACTAATAATTGGATTTGTCTACCAAGTATTAGATATGAACGGCGAAACTGAAGATATAGCCCTACATATCTCAAACGTAATCGATAGGATTCGGCATACTAGCCTTCTCCACAAGCACAAACACTCTCTCTGGACCAATATTTCGCCTAATACAATCGTTCTTACCAATTCGTTTAATGGAAGTCCTGTTTGATGAAGATAGTGTTAGATCATTTCATATTAATGTAGGATTCTAACAGGGCTATACACTTGGAACTAGTCTGTTTCTAATCTTAATATCAGTCCAAAATTTGGAAGAAAGATGTCATGACATACTTGACACATTGGCTAAAATTAATTTCTAAACATTGTTCTGGTAAAGCGACTGTATCTCTCATTTCAGAGTTTAGATTTTCAGAATGATATTAACGCAATGTATTACACCATATATTAAACTACCGATCTAGCAAGAACATGGCGAGTATATATAGAAGAATATATATATATATATATATATATATATATATATATATATATATATATATATATATAAAAAGTGCGTAGGTATGCAGAAAATAGAAAAGAACACGTTGGGTGTATAATACGGGTTCCTTAATATTTTTTGTTTTTATTTTTAAGAAGACAGTGCTCCATACAGAAGTACAGCTTATATTATAATATTTTTTGTTTAAAAATATGATTCCTTCGCTACATAAGAGTTCTCATGTTTCAAAAACGAGAGCCGAAATCATCCAAATAATTATTAAAATTAAGTTGGATTGTGGTGTTTAGTCCCGTTTCATCTTCAAGCGAAATTTTAGGAATAAGCTATCTCTCAGTTTACGTGTATTTTTAGGCACGGTCCGTTACAGAATTCGTTATTTTGGGAGTGGCTAGAATATTTTCCTTCGTTAAGTGGTCAGAGAGTTAATTTAGGTTGAGTAGGGTATCTATTTCAAGGCTAATGTTTGCGGTCACTCTTTAGTTAGTTCCCAGTGAGGGATATTTTTATGGCGCGCCTACAATCGTTATGTGTCTGGGGAATTGTCTTTTATTATTGTCCATCTGATTATCTATTTATTTATTTGTTTATTCAAGTGGGTGTTTTATATACAGATCGCATTGCACTGAATTTCAATTTGTTTTTGTTTTTTGACGACTACTAAAGGGGTTTTTCCTATTTAATGATTTGGCTTAGCTTTTAAGAATGTTACTTAACTATTGGATTTTTTTTTATTTTTATATATTTTTTATTTAATGCGAAAGTTTGTTGATGTCTGCAAAAAACCGTTAACTCCTTCCTATGGTTTAATAATTTTTCATTATTTAGAAATTTAATAATGTGTTGTTTTTCCTGTAATCATAAAGGGCATGGGTCATCCCAGGTTTTACAGGTTCTTGTTTTATTTACTATTTTCCATTTTACTTTTGGTGTTTTATTCGTTTCTTTTAGATGCCAGAAATATTGGGATAGAGATGTCTGATTTCTATTTTGAATATTGCTGAAGAAGCTCTTTTGTTGCCTCCATCTAATTTTAAAAGCATTCTTCGTTGAGCCTATGCATATCCTATTAGTGTAAGGACTCTCAATGGATGAGATAGTGCACTGGTATACTATAGATTTTGTGAGGCATTTATTTTCCAACGGACAGTTTTTAGGGTTTCTACAATCACATAATTTTTCGTTATTTTTATCCAATTTTAGTTTATGTGTTTTATTACTGTTTTGGTAAGCGTGTTTTTCTAGAATTTTGCTTATTATGTCTTTTTATGATTCTTTCTATATTTTCAATGCAGCTGTAAATCAATTTCAAGGTGTTTTTGTTAAAAATGTCGAAA